GCTATCGAATATCATACAATATGTATCTTTAAACATGACAAATGTATCAAAAATGTTACACATTTGGATGTTTTGAAGAATTAATTTAAATTTTGACAATCTGTGCTTTTGACCTCTGGACATCCTGTGATTTCTTAAAAATTCAGATGGTGGCCGCATTAGTAAAAACATCAATTAGATAAAGCAGGAGTTTTGATTGCCGTATTTCAGCATATTTACGTTGTCCTTAAAGCTTGCAGGTCATTTATAATTAATGATATCCATTTGTTTGTTTTCATTCATTCATGACCCTTTCTCTGTATTTCAGAATCATTGTCTGGTAGCTCACCACCTGGTTCATATGGGCAAATCATCCCATCCCATAATACTCCTGTCATCGTAAGAGATGGCATGCATGCAAGTGTTCCCCCAGTCCTCCCCCCTCATCTCCTGCACGTCATCCTGAATAAAGACGTTGTAGACCATGATGACCCATCATTGCTACCTGAACCTGACCATGTATCACTCAACCATCTGTATGCACTGTCAATTAAGGTGAGTGACACCTGTCAATCAAATGCAAATAGAGAAGGAAAGGGAAGGAAAACAATCTTGAACAATATACATGTGTGTACTGATTGATAAGAAAATTCATAGGGGGGAATTGATGGAGGGATTTGATAGTAAGTTATAAAGAAGAATTAAATATGAAGAAGAGTTTATTATTAAGGTATTGTGCAGAACCTTTACCAGCATGTACACATGTTGCTTGGTAGTTTTTAGTAGTCACAATAACAACTTTTATTATTATTATTTTATTATTATATTTTTCACATACTGTACAACTTTCAGATTTCACTACGTTAAATGATCATAGACACCGGCATACTTCATGCTTGCCAATGTCAATAAGAAGTACTAGAACCATTCTTGGCTTTTTCATGTATGGGTGTTGAGTGCATGCCACTTAAGTGTGGTACAATTCTTAACTAATTAGTGCTAATAAGATTTCATTATAAACTAACTTATTAAGAAGAATTCAGGGAGGCATAAACAAAGACAATTTCCTTTTTGGCATATTGTGATCATACCCTGGTGAATTCTTAGTTATTTCAGATTCTTACAGTAGCTTGTGGCATGCGTTCTTCATGTGTGATGAAATATCCTATCCAATGATGAATTTGTACATGATATATTTGGTTCTCTGTTTCAGGATGGTGTGATGGCACTAAGCGTAACCCATCGGTACAGAGAGAAATACGTCAGTACTCTATTATATAAACCAATAAATGTAGAATAGATAACAGCAGAATATCATTATCATTATCATTATCAATATTATTATTTTCCTGATCTATTGTATTCACAACTTTTCATACTAGAGTTCAGAGAACTCAAGTGTAGAATATCATGAATAATAATAAATAAATCAGGCAATTGGGGAACACCATGGCAACCAACCTCTGGGGGATGTTAAGGGAATTACCGAGTCTGACTTTCCTGGCCTTTGATGACTAAAAAGTGGCTAAATTTCCTTTTTTTAGATATAAGTTCCCCATAATCCCTGTGGATTGATGCTGTTCAAACAATGTTAAATCTCAAATAGAGTACAAACACTTTTAAATGCGTGCAACACTTTGCAGTATTTACCACAAAATCAACACAAAATAGTGCTAATTAAACAATAGAATTAGCATAATTTAGCAGTATTTAGTGGTATTTATGTTGCACAGTTTTAGTGTTTGTACTCTACTGTAGTCTCCTCTCATAGCCATTATGAGGCTTAATCCCAGGTCTCTCCTCCCAACCTTGGAATGGGCCTCATAAAGGCTACTGGGAATGGGCCTCATAAAGGCTACTGGGGAGACTAAATGTCAAGCTGTAAAGTGTTACTCCACCTGTGCAATATCTGAGGGTTTGAAGTGTTTGAAATGCCCCATGTAAGAGAATTAATCCAGAGAACTAGAGGATTCCAGATTCCAAGCCTTGAGATTCCAGATTCCATAGAATTTTTGTTTTTGGATTCGTCCAAAATTGTTGCTGGATTCTGGATTCCAGGATACGGATTGTGGGTTCCAAGGCTGCTTTTTTTACTGGATTCCAGATTCTTTTGGGGTGATATCTCTGAACTTATAATGGCATACAATAACACCCTACATGTATATTATATAAGAATGTAGATTCTCCAAGTCATCCTGAACTGGTTCTCTAGTAGATTCATAGCACCTTGACAGGTTTGTACATGCTAGGTTTTGCTGTATTATGAATATGGGTTGGGATGACTTGGAAGCCGTATCTTTTTGTGTTTTTACTGCTAATTTGTAAGTCAAAGAGTWGGAGATAATTTATATAAACATGACTTGATGACAATTAAGAATGTTATGATAATTCTCTKTAAAGAATGTAAGTTATTTCTTTCAATAAAAGTACATTATTTACATTTCCTGGTCAAACTAACAAGGCCTAAGATGGGAGTGGTGGGTGGAGAGGCTACATCAACATAACAAGGTATAAAATTTGATGAAGCTGAGATCCTACAAGGAAAGAAGTCTAGATGGTACAGTCAGGAGGAATATCACATAGCCRAGAGAAAGAGCAATTTGTTCAGCAGAGACAATATAGTAAAAGTGTGTGCCATTCTAGTCCTGTCAAAWCTGAAGCAAGGGTGATGATAAGAAATAGAAAGGCCGTTTGCAGGGACTTGTATGGAGCTAGCTTTATATGACTTGTGTTGCGAAGAGAAATGATAATGTACTGTAAGCATTGCGGGATATGTAAAAGAAAATGAAATCCCATATAGTACACTGCTGTTGGTTTGCTTCCATGATGACGTCATGAGTATTTTGGTGAAGTGCATGATGGTACCAATAAAAATACCAAAATGGCGGAAGTTTCTACGCAATTAAGTCACTTGAAAACAGCCTGAACCAGATTAAATAGTCAAAAAAGCATCCAGAAAAGTAATTGCCTTTATTAACAACTTAAAATAGAACTGACAATGTCAACATAATCATATATCAATGGAACATTTCTAAAGACACTTAACCCGGAATACAAGTAAACAGACGTCTGGAATTACGTCTGTATTTTTTTCTGGATAACGATGTTTAATCACCATCATCGGCCATATTGTTGACGGTATTACAGACACTAAACAAAAAGAATTTAATGGCGCCATCAGGGCCTGCGTTGACTTGCCAGCTTACGCTAACTTTGTTTTTTTTTATTCTAAGTTTAGCTACCGAATAACCCTGACTTAGCCATCATCACAGATAAGTACGTTTATTCTATGTTCAATCCAAATAGACAGTAACACTGACATAGCACAACGCAACGGGCGCTACCTATAACCCTAACTTTAATAGCCATCACAGATGAAGTACGTTTCCGTCTTAAATAGAAAGTAACAGTGATATTGGACAATGGTCACTACCCATAACTCTAGTCTTAATGACACTATCGCTGACTTTGCCAAGGAACCTTTCAGACACTACAAAGTAGTCTAGTCGCCTGCGAAAAGAAAGTAGTGGATG